GTGGAGCTGAGCTTTGATTGACTCTGTGCCAAACCTGCTGTTCTTTCCTCAACACTGGAGCGAATGATGAGAATCTGAATTATGCCAGCAGCCATGCTGAAGAGGCATCCTCCCTCTTCAAAGAAGTCTCCAAATTTAGTTGTGCTGCATTTGGAAGCTGCTCCATCCACTTCATCACTCTAATTGCTTTAATATGACTAATTGACCAATTACTAGAAGGTTATTTATAACCATGGTGGAATTAGTTGCTTGGTTCAATCGAGCAACGAAAAACTATCTGATTTGCAATGACTCAATTTATCAAATTTTTGGAAGGGGTAGCATGCCTAACTATATTAGCAGTAGATAAATATATGCAGTGCAATATGTTGGAATATCTGGCTATTCACAAGTGACATTGGCACTGAAAGGATTCCGACCCTACTTCTATAACCAACTGGTCAAGTCAGAGCTGTGAGTGCTAAGAAATGTTCCAGAGAAACTTCTGGGTTTTTGCTGTTTTTCACAAGGAAACTGAATCTCTGAAAGTATGAAGATTTGCCACAGTATTCCAGCCAGCAAATGGCAGAGTTTAGATTTAAACCATTTGCATTGTTTGGATGCGAAAAGATCCTTGCCTTCCATGCCTGGTCCTCTGGGATGTTGAGCAAGTCTCACAGCCTCTTGAGTCTCAGTTACCTTGTCTAAGATGAGAGGATTGGTGGATGTATCAGTTAGCTTTTGCTATGTAAGAAACAATCTAAAGTGCAGTAGTTTAAAACAATGACTGTTTTATGTTGCTTGCTATTCTGCACTTCTTTGTGGGGATTATTTGGGTCCAGACTGGCTCATCAGATCTCTTCTGGACTCCCACGTGTTCTATGGTTAGCTGGGGGATCTAGAGTGATCTATTCCTAGTGTTTGACAGATGATTGACTGGGGATTGGCTGTTTGTTCATCAATCAGGGCACCTCCGTTCTTTTCCATGAATCATTCATCCTCCAGAAGGCTTGCTTAATCTTGTACACTTAGTGGATCTCGGGGTTCCAGAACAGAAAGGAAGGGCAAACCCCAGTGAACACTGTCTTTGCTAGTCTCCCACTGGCTAAAGCATGGTGCAGCAGGCAGCATCTGAAATGGCTCCTGGTGATTCTTGCCTTCTGGTATTCCTGCCCTTGGATAACTTGCTTCCTTGTGCAGGGCTGAACTTAGTGAGGTATCTCTAATAAACAGAAGATGGCATAAGTGATGTGGAATCCCTACCTACATTAGGTTATAAAACATTATGACACGCTTACTCTTTTCTTGCAGTGTTAGGGATCAAACTTGGCCCCAGGGATGCTAAGTAAGCATTCTACTGCTGGGCTACATCCCCAGGCCTGACTTTTCTTAAAGACATGCTTGCTCTGATAAAGCCAGCTGCCATCTGTGAACTGTGCTGTGGGCATGCCCATGGAGAGGCTCAACAACAAGTGAGCAACTGAATCCTGAGCCCAGTGGTTTCTTAAAAAACTGAATCTGGTCAACAATCAGTGTGTAAGTGAGCTTGTAAGCAGTCCTCCCTAGATGAAACTTTAAATGAGAAGATAGGCCTGTGTGAGTTATTGAAGCAGACAGTCTGACTAGGGATGTCTGGGTTCCTTATCCACAGAGACTATGTGTTGTTTCAATTTGGGAGTCATTTGTTACACAGCAATAGGTAACTAATACACATATCTAAGCTCTGAGTCAATTGGGTGTGGTTATAAGATTAATTACATGAATTATTCACATTTGTCATCACATTTAGTACATTTAAATTTGACAAATTTGAAATTTACCTAAAATTAACTTTTTCTAGCCTTTTGGAGCCCCAAATGGAATTATTTTCACTACTTTGAAGTTTATTTATTCTCTGTGCTAATTACTGGGAACAAGATGGTGAGCAAGAAGGGACCATGTTCATGCCTTCAAGGAGGGCACATTACAAGAGAGTGTGATGGAAGAGAGATAAATGGGAAAAGATATTATTAGTCCAGTGATTCCTTCTTATTGTTTAAAATTGGGATAAGTGATGTGAATGGAGAGTGCATGTAACTTAGTCTGGGTTAGTCTGAGAAAGCTTCCTTGAGAAAATAACACTGAAGCTGAAGAGGTAAGCAAGGGAAAAGAGAGGGTGGAAAAGTTCCAGGCAGAGAAAGTAGCATATTCTTAAAGGGGAGCTAGAGAGGTAACCAACAGCTACTGGACATGTTCATTTTTATGATCACATTGTATCCTATTACATCATACTGGTTGTATTAGTCAACCTTCCCATCACTGAGTCACAATACCTGACACCTATATATTAAAGGAGGAAAGGTTTAATTTGGCTCATGGTTCAGAGGATTCAATCCATGGCCAACAGGGTATGAGGCAGAAACATCATGGCAGGATATGGCAGAGCAAAGATGCTTGGTGGCCAGGAAACAGCACCAGAGGAGAGACTAGAAACCATATAGTATATGGAAGTTAGGCTTCGATGACTCACCCAGACACATCCAGAAGTATTTTACTAATCTCCTAGGCAGCTCGCAAGCTAAGAAAGTTGACACAATTAAGCTTAACCACCACACTGGTATTGTGTGTTATGTTTTTTAAAAGTTTTTTTAGAGATACATACTGAAATATTTATGAATGAGATTATATTATGTTTAGAATTTACCTCAAAATATTCTGGTGGCAGGATGGGGATTGAGGAGTGGGTAGAGCTATGGATGAAACAAGATTTTCTAAATGAATTAATAATTATTGAAATTGGGTGATGAGCACAGGGTTGTTTATATAATCCTCTCTACTTTTCTATGGGTTGGGATTCCATAACAAAAATTCTATCCTGACAACACATCCCGAAAGCTGTATATATGTGAGGTCACATTATTTACCTCCTCCTGCTCCATGCAAGAGAGCAGAATAACATCTTTAGGACCAAAGGAATGATTTTATGGAACAGAAAATGTAAAGACTTCTCAGCCTCCAATCATGTGACTAATGTAAATCATGTGACTTACTTTACCTCTTGGCTAAAATGCTGTATTGCATTTTTCTCCTGCTCAATTTTCACTAGCCAAGATAGTATGTTTCATATTTAGTGGAATCTTGTAACATGGTTCACCCTAGCGTAAAAGCAGTATGCTGTTATAAGTATTCATGGAGGGATTCTTTTATTAGGTCTTCTAAGATACAGACAACAGTGCAGGGAGTTTATAGGTTGGAGAAGAAGAAAAATAGGGTAGAACAGATGGAAATCCCCCTTTGTTCAAAAAATTCTTGATTGGCATGATGCAGTAATAACTGTAAATTCCTTTGATTTTTCTCTTCCCTTTGCTTATCTTATTCTGAGGTAGGTTGGAATATGAATTTAACAGCGTGGATTTTATGAGTCAACAATGCATTTTAGGATTTAGGGAGGGTGGCACCTGGGAAGGAAAGTGAAGAAATGATTCCTCACGTTTACAACCGTTTCAATGCTAGGTTAATGAGGAACCACAGTTAGTGACTTAGACAGTTCTTGAAAATACCTTTGCCACCAAATTGAATCTCTTCCCAGCCCCCAATAAATGAAGGTTTCACTGGAGTCAGATATGCAAATTTAATTTCCCTTCTCAAGCCAAGGTTAAATAAAAGGGAAAATTATGAAAAGATTGCTGCTTATGGCAGCAAGGATTTTCAAGGCTTGAGGATGAATTTGGTTCTTTCAAACCAGGATGAGTGTTTTGTTTACACAAAGCAGGAAAAGAATAAAGGGAAGAGAAAAGGGACCCCGGCATAACGCGTTCCAGCAGGGAATGTGGGTTGAAAGGCTTTCTTGTACTTTGAACCTCGGTAATTACAGGCATTTTCTTGTGCTCTGGAAAGGGTTTGGCAAATAAGAAGAGGGTGTCCCCTCCGTTTCCAGGCTGGGTTCTGGCCCGTTGCAGGGAAACACCAATTCCCAACAGTACTCCCTGGAAGCAAATGCTTTGTCTTCACTGAATCCAGCCTGAGGTTGGATCCCAGCAGCACAGCCTGGCCTGGAAAATCTATCTGGAGAAACTTGCGGCCAGGAGGGAAGAAGGCAATCGGACTGAGTGGTAGGCTGCAGCCACCATCCTGGGGCCAGTCACTCCCGCTAGCCAGGTGGGTGTTAATACCTGAAAAGACAGACACGAGTCCTCCCTGGGTGCCCACTTGTGCCATACTCCACCTCTCTACACCAGGCAGTCTCAGCACGCCTCACACGCCACACTGCTGCACCAACACACACCCATATACACACTGTGTAATTAATGCCCACCTACATGCCCCGGGCACATGTGCACCCAACTACTGTACACACCGCGTTCAACCACACACACGCAGTAAGTCCTACACATCCACATCACACACACGCGTATCTACACAGTTCATTAACACCAAGCGCACTGTGCACCCCCCCACACCATGCCCCGGCTCTAACACGCCCAACTACACAGACCTCGCGTACCCCACACAGTCCTCCACTCTCACTAGCGGGCGTCAGCAGCCGGGAACTGGGTGCTGACCCCCTGTGGCCCCTGCCCTGCGCCCCCAGGAGTGAGCAGCCCCCGGGACTCCGCCCGACACCTAGGAGGGTGCTGAGGAAAACGTGGCACGCGTGTTCAGAGGCTGGGTGTGGGCGCGTAAGTGTGAAACCCTCGCCCTCGTTTGGGTCACTTCTCCAGGGAACCCAGCACGCAGGGAAGCGTGCGGGAGACCTGTACGTGCGTGAGGCCAGAACGAGCGGCCTTCCGCCGGGGTCTGTCTGGGCAACTACGGGGTGCGGGAGGGACCCGCCGTGGCGCGAGGCGACGCGACGCCCGCGCTCTCCGGCAGGGCGCGCGTGAGGAGACCTGGCTCGCCGGGACCCGGGGCGGGGACGGGGGGAGATAGGGGGGCGGTGGCGCGCGGTGCATGTGCGCGTGCGCACTGCGCGGAGGGCGGGGCGGAGGGAGGCTCAGCCCCTCGCAGCGCCCGCCGGGGCGGCTCCTCGGCGAGCCCGGGACGCTGTGCTCCCGCCGCCGCCGTGCGCTGGCGTTGACTCCGGCCCGCGTCGTGCTTTCCCGCGTCCGCAGCCTCTCGGCGCTGTCGCCCAGACGCCGTGTCCCCGGCCCCGGCCCGGCGCGCCCGGAGCGGACATGAGTGCGGCCGCGGCGCCGGCGCCCGAGCGGGGTTGGAAGAGCGAGAAAGTGGACGAGGCGCAGGCCCTAGCGCGGAGCTGCGCCGCCCGCAGACCCGACTTCCAGCCGTGCGACGGGCTGTCCATCTGTGCCACGCACAGCCATGGCAAGTGCTTCAAGCTGCACTGGTGCTGTCACCTAGGATGGTGTCACTGTAAGTGCTGCGGGGACTCCCGCCGTCCCAGGCTCCGCGCCCGCCGGGGCTGCTGCGCCCAGGCTGGGGCCGCCCTGGCCCGAGGCACCCGGGGTCCGCGCTGCCGGGGCTGCAGGTGGGGAGCGGGGATCGCAGGGGGCGGTCGGGAGCCGCTCTCGCCGGGGAATCCCCATCCCAGGGAAACCCGAGTCTGGTTTTCGTTTTCGTTTTTCTTCTTCTGGGGTGCCCGAAACAGCCCGGCGGTCGGTGTGTTTGAGAGGTGGTAGAGCCGGCAGCGTTGCTGACCACCGGGGTTCGGGGGACTCCTCGGGGTCGGGGTTCAAGAGGAGCCTCTTTTTCTGCCTCACTTTTCTCCTTCCGACCGCTGTTGAAGGAAAAACAGCCCTTGGAAATCGACTTGTGTTGCATTTATTGTATTAAAAAGCAAGACAGCGCTAAGTGTCGGGGTTTGTTCCACGAAGTTAAAAGGAACAGTTTTGGAGGGTAAACTCCTCAAATACCCAGTCGCAGTGTTTATTGAGCCAGTGTATGAGTCTAAGAATTATAGAATAAGGCAGGGAAGGTAAGCTCAGATGATCTTAATTTGGTGTAGAAAAGCCAGAACTAAATGGTCTGGAACCTTTTTCTCTTTTTCTATCCTGCTTGTGATTTTAAACAGATTAGATTTAAGTAGCCATTTAATCAGGATGCCACAATTTGATTAGTTCATGGTATTTGGTCCTCTGTATCCGATGAATCATATCTTTTTAGAAATATATTCTGAAGTTCGTTTCCATATAATCTTAGGATAGAAGGTTTTGGAATGCTTATTGAGGACACAAATTTTCCAAGTGATCCTAAGTTAAAATTAAATTGTCTTTGTTAGAAGAAAATGGCTCACAACCAAACATGCAGTATATAAGAAATCTTTATTTACTTTAATTAAATGCTGTTGAATATTTTCAGTTGAATTCATGAATTAAAGGATAGAGGATCCTTGCATTTTCTTTTCAAATTTCAACCTGATGGAGCAGTACTGATGTTTTTGTGTAGCATCTACTGATGGGTCAGCTTCTTCCTATTTCTCATTCATGTGCTCAGACCTGTTCCCAATTAGAAAGCTTTGTTTTTCATCGGGGGCAGGTTCAGAGTTGGAAATGCCCAGTTGTAGGAAGGTAGGGTGGCAGAAATACCCTAATAAGACGAATCAGGTGAGATTCCATTTCCTAGTGTGGGGGGTGAGGAAGGTTAAATGTGGTCCAGCTCAGTGCCTGTCTTATTTCAGCAGTGGTCTTTCTTCCTACACTATTACAGACAAGAACCTTGCAGACAGCTTCTTCCTTCATTAGCCTCTGCTGCTAAAATATTCTTCCTTATAAGGAGCTGAAATCGGTTACTTTCTAACTTCTTTCCACCGATCCTGTTTGTACCTTGTGAGATATTAGAAAACGAATTATTTTTTACATCATGGCTGTTTGAACTTTTCACATTTGGGTATTTGAATATACTCAGGGATTTCTTGCAGATGTGGACCGTCTTGTCCCTGTATTCCTGTCCATTCTCATAACCAAGTAGGGTTTCTTGAAATAGGCTTCAACTTCATACTCGTTGAATGACTGGATGAAGGTAGCCATTATGTTCCGCTGAACTCTTGTTTTACAAATCTATTTATAAATCGCCAGCCCCTTCAACGTTCTTTAGTGTTAATGGTCTGCACTCCTGACACTTGCCAGTGTGCTTAGGATCCAGTGAAGATCGTAACCCCTGGAAAGGTGGCTGGTGTCCCCGCTGTGGTCTGATCTGTCCAGAGTGGAGCTCGACCACCACCTCCTGTCTTTTCGATACTGTTCCTGCTCCTGCTAGGGTCACATTAGCTCTTTGGAACCTCACATCTCACCATACTGAGCTTGCTGCTGTCAGGCTGACCTAAGCTTACTGTCGACAAAAAGCCATCAAACTTGGTTTTTAAAAAACGTATGGCAGTTAAGCCACAACTTGCCCATCTCAGAAGTATAGATACATTTTTGAACACAGGTACTGATCTCTTAGGTATTTTTCTCTGTTACATTTTAGGAGAATTAGCCCATTTTTCTGACTTACTGTGGTTTTTAAATCCTGGCTCCTTTATACTGTATATTAGCTATTCTTCCTAAATTCATGTCATGCACATATCAGATGCCAGTAGCACTACAGTAACCTTCTATATCTTCTTTCAAGTTTTTGATAAAATAGTTTAGCACAAGAAGGCCTGAGACTTGCTGGTACACTTGCCCTTCACATTGATAGCAGTTCATTAATGGGTACTTGTTATTATGGTTGTGTACCCAGTAACCACTTAAGTGCACAATCATCCATCCTATGTTCTCAAGTCCATAGTGGGCATGATAAGAACCTGGTCAAATACCTTGTTGAAATTCTACCAACCCAGGATTTTTATCGCTTCTTTCTGATACATGATCTATGTATACACACACTTGATTTTAAAAAGACATGAACCTGGTACAACTCTGGTTGTTTCTACCAATGTTTACCATTTTCTTAGTGCTTAGAAGCTTATTTTAAGTAAATAATCTGAATCTAGAAAAGGATGGATGTTAGGTACACTGGACTGTGGTAGGCAGTTCTTTCAGGCTTTTAAAAACTCACACTCACGTTCCTTTGTTCTCTTTTCGACTTTATCCCAGCTCTGGCCCTGCCCTCTGCACAGGACCAGGCCCACTGTCCCATTCACGGAGAGCTGTGCCATTCAGAGTTGCCAAGTCCTCTGCTAATCTCCTCATCTGCTTGGGCACAATTCTTTCTACCTTTTTTTTCCTTTTCCTTTTTGGCCCAAGTAGCATTTTTCTGGACAAGAAACAGAGTTGATATATTTGAGAAGTTCTGTTTTCTCTTTTTTTGGCATTTGTGCCACATGTCAGTCCTAAGCATGTTCGTCTAATTCTGTTGCATTTGTCATGAGCAACTTCTCTTTATGAGACATTGGTATGGAAACAGGATACAAATGTGAGTACAGCTGTCTTCTGCCCTGTAAATAGTCTAAGGGCATGATCCACTTTGAATTAATTTTTGTAATTCCTTTAAAATCACAAATGATAAAAGTTTGTTCACCAAAGCTTTGAAAATGCTAAAATGAGACAATTCCCTTCATACTTGCAGAAGGGAAATTCAGAACAAAGAAAGGAGATTCAGCTTGGTGTGGTGGTGCATGCCTATCCCAGCACTCAGGAGGCTGAGGCAGGAGGATCGCCTCACAGGCTGAGAACTCATCTCAAAAATAAAACAGGAAGTTCAACACTATATAGATGATGTTAAAGTTGTGAAATGCATAGCTTTATGAAATAGAAAAAACTGTACATGTTTGTAAAATACATGTAAAACATGTACATATTCATATTCGTTACCAGAGGCAGTGCCTGGTGCATTATTACATAATTAGTGTGTTTGGGTAATGGCTGATTTTTAAGAATCATGTCTGTTTGTGTCCATGGTAGTTTATTGAGCTGAATCAGCCATGATTTAATCTATTACTTAATCTTTTCCCAGTAAGGAATGAATTAATGAGTCAAGGCTCTAGGAGGCGTTTTGATGGAAAGGGACATGGCTTGGCTATGGAAGAGGGATGGGAAAGAATAAATCATATGCAGATATTGTAAAGTAGATTTTTGTATATGGAGTAGACAGATTATTTAGAAGAAAGAAATGTAGAGATGGAAGTAAGTGGGTGGATTTGAGAAATATTTCAGGTAAAAAATACAAGCTTGGTTAGACTCAGAGGAAGAGTTAGAGCAAGGTTATTAAGGATAACTTCTAGAAGTCTGCCTTTTGCATTTTAGGTGCATAGAGAAAAAAATAGGATTGGAAAGAAGGTCATGATTCCCTTTAGACTTTGAGTTTCAGCTGTCCTTGTCATATGGTGATGTCAATAGGCAGTTAGATACAGGAATCTAGAACTCAGGAGAGGTCTGGACTAGAGATAATGTGGAAGTCATTTTCTTATTTATGGGTTGCAGTTGTAGTCAAGACGACGTGTGAGATCACTAAAGGAGAGATGATGCACAAGAAGTGAAGAAAACTTTTAGGTTTCCTTTTGATAACAGCAGTGAGTCTGGATATAGGATGATAAGCTGCCAGAGATCCCAAGGAGAGATGGCAGAGAAGAAAAATATGGGAGGTCTAATATTGCAGAAGCCAAGGGAGATGACAGGTTCGAGCCCAGCCTGGGCAGCTTAGTGACTTAGACCCTGTCTCAAAGTGAAGTGGTTTGTTTTTGAAAGGCGTAAGGATGTAGTTCAGTGGGAAGGCCCTGTGTTCAATCCCCAGTCCTACCAGAGAGAAGTGTGGGTGAAGTACAGAGTGCCAGAAGCTGAGAAAAAGGACACAGAGAAGGTTGTTAATATTTATTCAGTGATTGCTTTGTGGCGCAGTAAGCTTATGCCAAGCACTTACTGGCCAATTATGTTGTTATGTTGGTTTTAGAGTTGAGGGGAAAGGCCTGGGGAAGTTCAGAAATTTTCCCGTGGGCGCTTAGCTATTTAGGAGTAGAGGCTGGGTTTGCATCTAGGTGTGCCTGATTCTAGGAAGTGGACTGGGACCCACTGCAGAGCAACTTAAACCTAACGAACAGAAGCAAAGTGCTCAGTTCCATTAAAGGCAGTGATGGGGAAAGTGCTCAAGAAGTGGACAGGTTGTATCAGTGGACTAGTGAAATCTGGAAGAGTGAGAACTATAAAGAGGTCACTGGCTGTGCTGGAGAATAATATCCAAGTGAAGGGTTAAACAAGGTGGTAACAGGGTGACAGGTGGATCTGAGTGGGTGTATGTGGTGTGATGTAGGTGCCACCAGCAGAACTCAGATCTGACTTAATAAAAATCACATAATAGAGGAGCTCAACTTTCTGCAGAAGACACCTTAAAAGATGCCTGTTTCTATCAGCTTTAAAGCAGGAAGAGTGGGACCTGAGTTGTCTGATAGATGATATTAGCATATCTGAAGAAAGACTGTCACTGCGGAGGGTGGGTGG